TTTGAGGTTATCCCATAAATCTTCGATGGGGTTGAAGTCTGGAGAACGGGTTGGACAGGCTAAGACCCTGATGTTATGATGTTGAACGTACGTTTGTACTACGCGAGCGACATGTGGACGGGCATTATCGTGCAATAGAATAGAATTGTCGCTGATTTCAACGAGGATAGGCATGATGTTCCAAACTTTCAACGACATAGCGAGTGGCCGTCAAAGACCATCCACGAACAACAACCAACTCTGTGTGACTCTCCATTGAAATTTCCGCCCACACCATCATTGAGATACGTTGAAAAGGTTGCCTCTGGGGAAAATTACAAGCTTCGTACCTTTCATTTCGCCTTCTCCAACTTTTTCACGCCCATCTGGTGATCCTAGAGCAAATCTTCACTCATCTGTAAAAAGTCCAAAGACTAATGGCTGTGCTCTCGAGCAAATACGAGCCGTGCAACTCTTTGTGTTTTGGTCAATTCTAGTCCTCTTACGGAGCGAAAAGCCATCAGTACAAACTGATTTAATCTTATTCGAGTCGTGCGTTCAGAAATTTGGACACCTCGAACTCCCGGAGCTGATGATTGATCACTTGAAGAACAGTAAGGTGCCGATTTCGCAAAATTCTCAAAGTCAAAAAACGGCCATCTTGTAGTTCTGTTACTCTAGGGCGTCCAGAACCGGTCCTTCTATGGTAGGACCCAGCTTCTCGAAAACGACTAATTTCCTCTCGCAGATTTCGTAGGGAACTCCGATGGCAGTAGCTGCATACCTGATGGAAAGTCCATCATCAATAAGTGCCACACCACGTGCAACATCCTCAAAATTAAATGGCATTTTTAAGTTTAAAAATTGAAATTAAGAAAACAAAGATAAAAACTGAACTGTTTATTGCTTCACAATTCAAACGAGACTGAATAAATATTTTAAATTTCGTAAAAAGTAAACATTGAAACATCCTTTATACTTATTTTTGATTAAGAATTAAGTTTGCTTACCTCTAATTGATATTCCCAATTTAAATCATAGCATGACCAAATATTTATTGATAAAAACAATGAGACAAATTTAGGGCAGAATTTTATTTTATCGAGAAAATGAAAAATAATCAATTGGGTGGAATTTTTGTAATTAATCTTTTATTTGTTAGGCCTGTATGAAAGCAGAATTTAAATTATAAAAAGTAATTTTTTTTTCACCGTTTAAGCAACTAGTGCTATTTTCAAAAAATTTAAAATTGCTAACTTCACTAATTTTAGTCCGATTTAGACTGGACTTTTTTTTAAATGTTTGTCGTATAGTCTCTTTTATTAGAGCTTTATTGGTTTCAGCAATAAATTTTTTCTAGCATTTTGTCGTAAAAACATGACCTAAATATTTTTTGTAAATGAGGGCATTTTTTATTATGAATTTTTAAAACACTTCGTAACCATTAATGGTGTGCAACTATAAAAATCGGTAAAGTAATTTCTGAGATAAGGAATTGTTTTTTAAATTTTATTATGATATGAAAATAATTCATTTTCTTGCTACTTTATGGATTCAAATTACTCTAATTGATGGCGAAGATTGGTCGATTAAAAAAAAAAAATAAATAAAAAATAAAATAACCAGATAGTGGGTGGATTGAAGAAAGGGTGAACTAGAAACTGCCTGTGTTAAAGGAAACGCTTTAATTGATGTCCATCAATTTTTTTTTTCAATTAATCAATTCGAAATAATTTTGCGACAGTATCGCTACCGATATTTGAAATAGCACTGATAATCATCAACATCACATAAAGGGTTCGTGCAAACCACGGATTTTACATGCTCTCAAAGAAAACAAATCGAAGGGTGTTCAGTACGCCTGGTGGTAAAATGTTCCACACCATCACCCCTGAAAACTTTGACGTTATTGTAATAAAACTTTAAAGAATCTTCCGTTTTGGACGACGAATTACCAACCCTGTCTGCAAGACAAAATTTAATTTTTCAGCAAGATCCAGCCCACAAAGATCGTTTCCTAGGATTCTTGGACGATACTTTTCAGCCACAATTGTGTCTATCGGCTTCCAAGATGCTTTGAAATAAATTTCTTAGTGTTTACCATCCAAGAGTTAATTTGAACCATAAATAGCGAGAACTGCACTATTATAAATGCAGAAAAAAAACTAGTAGTAATTATCTATCTTAGAAACTATTTGACCGATCTTAAAGTGCACACCATTTGATTCGCCACGAAGAATGTTTTAAGAATTCCCAATTAAAAAGAATGGTTTAAGATAAGAATAAAAAAAAAAGATTTTGGTCATGTTTTAATGTCAGTGATAAAACTCTACTAAAATAGACTATAACCTTAAAACGTCCGGTCTAAATCTATTATATTGAACTATTTAACGGTGATGAGGGTGGGTGGAAAGAGACAGGTTTCTGAAGTTGTTTTCTAAATATCAAATATTCTTGAGATAGTTCAATTTAGATGAAGCTGCATTTGCTAAAAATTCAAATTTAGTTAATCTATAAAATGCTCCAATTGGTCAATATTCATTGAAAGAAAATGAAAAATATTTATTTAAAAATTTAAACAATACAAATAAAATATGATTAAAATATATTTAACATTGATCTAAAACTTTCGGACAAATATTTGAATTGCTGTGTCCCACTTAAATTGAAGGGTTCCTTGGCTTCATATAGAGAGAGTGTAGGAACAACTCCTGGTACGAGAATGTACTCAGCCGCAAGTATTTGGTTCCCCCGTTTCGTTTTTTGGAGGAAACGGCTGTTTTATTGTATACAGGGTATTACAGGGTGAAATGTCAATATTGCCATGTAAAAGTGAGTATGTCCTTAACTTATGAAATAGGCATGAAATAAGGCAACTTGGTGAAATCCCCGAAAATTTTGGTGGAAGAGTCATTAAACGAGCGACAATTGAGTACTTCTAAAAAACATGGGCTTTGCCTTTTGTTAATCTTTGGGCGGCTACTTTGTGTATTTCAGAAGTGCGAATTTTACCTTGTGAAAAATTTAATGTAGTTTGCGAAATAAACTTGATTTGAGGACTTTTTGGCCAAATCAACAGCCCAGTTTGAGTAATTTGACATCAGCGTAAAATTTGACATTAAATTTAAGTTAATTAGACAAATTTTATCGTTATTTACTCTGAATTAACTTTTAACCTTGCTTTTTAATTACTTCGTTTGATGGTAAAGACTAACAGGTTGATTTCTCAATATCCTAGAAGTGGATAGACACCATCGGATTAAATATTACATATTAAATAGAAAAACAAATTATTCTTTTTTAATTTGAGGTTTTTTAAAATATAAAATAAATGTGCTCTTCAAATGTGTGCAGCATTTTAAGATCGGCAATGTAGTTTCAGAAATAGATTACTAGATTTTTCAATATATATTTTTTTTCTGCATCGATACTATTCCATATATCGATTCCAATAACCGAATGTATTTTGCAACATTTTCAGGTACTTTGTATAGCTTTATCCGTCAAATTATATTTTTTTAATAACCATTTTTATCTTCAAATTAACCCTTTATAATTTAAAATTAGCCTTTTTTACCTTCAAATTAACCCTTGTCAATAAAAAAAATAATGTTTTTAACTTCACTAGTTTTCGTGGTCCGCTTGACCAATTAATATCTTTTAATTAATTAAGGTTTTTAGTTGAGATAAAAATGTCAGTGTCACGAGCGGGATTCGAACCCACGACCTTCGGCTAAATGCGCCGCTGCTCTACCACAGCTATCGTGACCTCGATCCACTCGGACACTAACTTAATTAATTGAAAAATGTTTTTAATAATTACATTAAAAATTAATAGATGGTCATAAATGTATTTAAAAAAAACTTTTTTCGAATCAAATTAACCTTTTTTCATTTCAAATTAACCCTTTCTTTAAAACATCAAAAAACCTAGAGATGGAATGAAATGTAAGCATGATATTACAGAGAAAGCTCTAGAAGATAAAAATGTAGTTAATTAATTTATTTAAAAAATAAAAATAAAGAAAAGTGAAATTCATGCATTTGAAAAAAATGGGCACTTTGAAGACCACATGAAAATTGATTAAATTTCAATTATATAAAATTAAATATAAAAACATTCTTTTAATTTGAGATTTTTAAAACTATAAAATAATTGGGTTCTTAAATGCCATATAAAAATTAATTACAATTAAAATTAAAAATGACAATAAAAACATATACAATTAAAGGATTCTTTTCTTCATTTTTGTTTATATAAAATAATTAGGTTGTTATATAAAAAAAAACCATGAAAATCAATCGCAATTAAAATTAAAAATTGCAAAAAATGAAATATTTATATAAAGAATTCTTCTTTACTATAACGATTAAAAAATTGTCTTTTGCGTCTTGATCCTCTTTCATATCTGATAACTCCAATTCCCCTTCTAATTTGTAATCAAGTTTTTTTTCTCAGAAATTGAAAATCTTTCTTTAATGATATCACAAGTAAATTGATCAACAAAATATGCAAATTTCTATTTAAACATTTTTCGAACTTTTTTTAATGAAAACTGCTCGCGATTTTTCTACATTTCCTTTCATTTGTCGAACTTTTCTCCTATGACGTTAACAATATTTACAAAGTTATTAAATGTATCTTTCTTAAGGGAGTACACAAAAAGGTCAAGTTTAGTTTCAAAACTACTCAGCTTTTTAACGCTCTCCTTTCCTTGTAAATTCAAAATTTTTAGTTATCTTATAGTATGATTGTAGAGAGGGTGAAAATTTGGTTATAAAATAGTGTATAAAATGTTTCAATTGTCCAATTATTATAAGAGAGAGGATGGGCAAAACGTGCGGTCGTGTACCGTTATATTTTTCTTTTCTTACGGTCTTCGCGTATCCACCTAGTACTTGACGTGTAAGTAACGGGCTAAGCAGCCCCAAAGTGCCCGCTGCGATAAGCCGTTTGGAGGGGGCTGGGCACGGTTACAGCGAGGGAGGACGGACCGCCTGTGGAAGGGGGCTGCGTTCAGCGGGCATTTACAATCACAAGTCTCGCGTTTCCCGTACAGGATGGAAGGCCAGGGCAAGTTTTCGGCGCTGTACCTCATCATCGCGCTCGCGGCGTCTCTCATTCTGTCAATCGCCATAGCTTATCTCGAGGTGAAGCGGGACACAGAGATCAGAGAACTAGCAAATGTCGTCGAATCGCTTATCCAAGATGTCAAAAGTTTAAAGTCGCAACTGGAAAATGTGAAAAATCAAACTTCATTCCTCGTCGAGCAGTTCGATAAGGTACGTTTTCTTATTTTTATGTAGTATTATATATAAAAAGTACTAACAACTGTAATGTGTTTGACAAAGAACTTAAGTTCTATACCATTTTTATTGAAAATAAGGAGTATTGAGAGTTTGTTTGGCTCAATATACTTACATTTTCCTACATAACACCTATGTCTAGTCTACCTGACTAGTCTACATAATGGTCATTTGCTAATAATCTTGAAACTGCAGGGTGAAATCGGAAGCCAAAATACAGGTCAATCATCCTGCAAGCCCCATATTAAATCTTACAAGAAACCTTTTTTTATATTGTTTCAACATAGAAATCCATAAAATAGACCACCACTTGATTAACAATAATTAAGGTTGGTCGGGTCCGATTTTGGTCTGCCTATGTTCACTAGTTCGATCTGCTAAACCATTTCGGCTTTTCGCCATGTTCAATGGACGGGTTCGCCAAGAAAATTAATAAAAACTCACAGAGATGATGAACTGAAGACACAACACCAAGGATAGAAAACCAAAATCGGACATTACCAAAATACAGGCTCATCACCTAGGAGACCCTAAAGAGCAAAACCATCACTAGGTTCGCCTAACATCCGAAATGATTTTAACAAATGGTTTTCCTATAGTTTGGCCGGGCCTGTAATTTTGGTTTTGGAACTGTGAAATGGTGAAAACGACAACAATACAGGTTTATCTGCAAACCGTCAATCTAAAATATCACAAGAAACGTTGTTTGTATTGTTTGAAAATAAAGATCTGTAAAATAGATACCTGTAGGTTCAACTGGGATCTAAAACATTTAAGCAAATAATTTTCCTGTAGTTTGGTCGATACGGAACATTTTGTTCTGCATATTCGCATTTTTGTCAGCTTCTCGCCATCTTCAGTGCTGGGTTTTCAAGAAGGAAGTGAAAACGCACAGCGTCTGAAGACTCAAACTGGTGTACCCAGTATCTACAACCTTTGTGCAAATAATTTTCGTGTAGTTTGATAGTTTTTGGGTTAGCTGATTTGAGCTTTCAGAAGAGTTTCGGCTTCTCGCCATCTTCAGTTTGTGAAACGGACAATTCAGCACTCGGAAGTTTGACCTTTTCGATCGGTCGACTTGCTGACAAGTTGGTCTGGGCTCGTAACGGAAAAGTAATATTTATAGTCTGCCTATCCTCGCTATTTTTGTCATTCAACTGAATTTCGGCTTCTCGACATCTTCAATGAACAAGAGAGAAATTCAAGCTGATCATGCTCTGTAGATAATTGTCTGAAAATCAATGAGGATAGGCAGACCAAAATGATCGGAATCATCCGACCCGACTTTATTCATCAGCAGACACCAAGAGAAAATTTCTCAAGGAATTTTTTTATATTGTTTCAAAATATAGATACATAAAATAGACCACCACAGTATCCAAAACATTGAAACAAAATATTTAATTTTGGTTTGGTCGTTCGCATTCGGACCAGTTTGGTTTTTCAGACACGTTCTCATCATCTTCAGTGGTGTGTGTGTTTGTGGGAGCGCGCGCGCGTGAAATGGACAGCAATTAAGGATTATGTAGTTTGGCCCTTTCGATCTGTTGGGCAACTTTCTGGCTAGTTGGTCGGGGCTCGCAACGGAAAAGAAATATTTGTAGATTGGTCCGCCTATTCTTGCTGTTCTGGTTATTCGAATGAATTTCTGCCTCTGCATCTTCAATGGTGGATATTCATTCAAAAGCGAAGTGAAAATCACACCGATCTTGTGCTATAGTTAAGCGTCTGCATGATCAAAACGATGATATTTGGAAACGACAAAAATATAGGTTCATCATCCTGACCAAGAGAAAATTTGTGAATTTTTTATAATGTTTCTAAATAGAGTTACTATTACTATAAGTTTTTAAAAAGATCAAAAATAGAAAGTACAAAACCAAAATGATAGGAACCATGAAATACAGCTTCATCACTGCGCGCGATCCCAAGAGAAAATCTTCCAATGAAAAATTTTTTGGACTCTTTCAAAATAGAGATACATAAGATACTGGGTTCAACAAGTATCCAAAATATTTGAACAAATAATTTTTCGTGATTATGGTGTTTCGTTTTGTTTACGTCTTGCTTGTCCTAGTCGTTTTGGTCTTTCAGTCTTTTCTCGACATCTTCAGTGGTATGGTATGAGCAATGAACAACAGTTAAGCATTTTCCCGATCATTTTCGTCCACTGATGTCAAATTGGTGATGGCTCGGAACTTTAAAGAAATATTGTAGTTTAAACTGTCCGTCTTGGAGTTTTTGGTCTCCAACCCAATCCGCCTTCTCGCCATCTTCAATGCTTGGTTTTAGGGAATAAACATGCACTGAAATTAAGTGTTTGGTGGGATGAAACGGAAAGGATAGTATGGACAAAAAAATCTGAGACAACTCACCAAGAGGAAATCTCACAAGGAACTTTTTTTGAATTGTTTCAAAATAAAGAGTAATAAATTAGACAACCCAGTTTACCCATATCGAAAACTTTTTAGCAAATAATTTTCCTGCAGCTCGGTCGTTTCAGATCATTTAGGCTTTTCGAAAAACACACTGAACTTAAGCGCCTGAAAGACCTAAACAGGTTTTCCCAGTATCTAAAACTTTTTTACACATTTTCCTGCAGTTTGACAGTTTCAGACCGATTAGTTGATTTGGTCTTTTAGAAAGGTTTTTGGCTTCTCACCATCTTCAGTGGTATGTCTGAGAAATGTGAAATAGACAACAATTCACCATTCTGTAGTTTGACCCTTTCGATAATTTTGGTCTGCCCATTCTCCCTGTTTCAGCCATCCATCTTCTCACCGATACAGCAATTCCACATTTCACGATGAAAATATAAAAAAAGGACTAAACGGAAAACAGCACTTACTCACTGATGATAGCGAGAAGCCCGTTAAACCAAAACGATAGGAAACGACTAAACTACAGGTTCATCATCTACCAAGAAGAAATTTTTGCAAAAAAAATTTTTTAGAAAAAAATTTCTTGTATTTGATCATTTCATTTTGGTCTTGATTATTCAAATAGTTTTAATCTTTCAGGCGTGTTCTCGCTATCTTCAGTAGTGTGTCTGTTAAACGGACTACAATTAAGCATTCAGCAGTTTGACGTTTTCGAACATTTTGGGTGGCAAAGCCTTCTTCTCACATTACTTCGACACACGACTTACATTTCACGCCAAAATAGAAAAGTGACTAAACCGAATAACACATAGATTTTTGTATTCGCATTTGTGTGGGTTTCTAATTATATAGAAAATAGAAAATACTTCACTGATAAAAAGAGAGAGAGTGTGCAAATGCTGCGATTTCAAAAGATTTTAGATAAAAGTTGTTACTATGGTCATTTCAAAGTTAAGGGGATCAAGGTTTACGGCCAAGCGGGTTTATCAACAATTAACGTCATAATATTCATAAAAACTCGTCTATATCGGGAAATTTATTACACCGGTGGATCTCGCTGCTGACAAATCTAACAGAAAGCTCATAAAAAATTACAGTAATCTTCGGAAGAATTGAAAACTAAACGTTTCAAATATTAAAACGTACTCGTTAAACTTTACTTGGGTTACATTACTTTTATTTCTACGACAAAGAAATTATTGTTAAGAAGCCATTAGCAAAATGCAAGGAGCTGAGGACAGAAAAACAGATTTTTCAAAAACGGGACGGAATTTTTAAATTCTAAAACGAAATTTTTTGATGATTGTGAATCGTTGTTATTAAATCGGATAATAACAGTTAAGATGAAAAAAATCAATTTAAACATGAAATTTTTGACAACTGAGAAATCAATTTGCATTAATTAATTTTCTTTTGTTTTCACATTTTGTCCGGAAAAGAAAAACACCGCGTCTCACGAAATCTAAACTGTTCTACCCAATTTTGATATTTTCTATGGTTTTGATAAGTAAAACCAAAAGAATCGTGGTAAAAGTAAAACCCGTCAGGCGCAGAGATGATGCAGATGTTTTCAATGAAGTTAAACTGAACAGTAAAAAATCAATATAACTAAATAAGAAGACTTCTTTAAATTGAAAAAAGAGAAAAATATTGATAAATTACCAGGCAATATATTTCAAATGACAAGCTAAACGTTGAAATCATCATGCTTAATCAGTTAATTCGCCCAATTTACAAGATTGGTCAATAAGAATTGATTGTTGTTCGTATAATGCGACATGTCATCGCTCGCGACCGAAATGTTTACTGACCGACAAATATTGTTTACAATTTGCAACAAACATAAACGTCAAATCATTGTAATTAGTATACTATTAAAGTCTAGATTAAAAAAAAACAACTTGTAAGTTATTCAGAGTTTTGTCTGTTTAATCGATTCCTAGTCAATATTTGGTTTTCCCTAGGAGTTGTTGGTTTTAAACGGTCACCTGATGATTTGATTTAATTTGTTACGAACGTCTGGCCGGTTACGAGGGTCGTTATCTACCCCAGGTACGTGCGGTCCGGCTAATCACCAAAGGGACGTGTGTACCAATTACAACCCGGTCGTCACCTTTGAAGCTCTAAAAATAAACATACTTAGCTTCTTAAATCAATAGCCCTAGTTGCAGTGCATTAGGCACTAAAGAACTTTGTGGGGAGAAACTGTGGTTGGAGGGAGAACCTGTGATGTTTAGGTACGCCGTATTTAAATAGACGGCATATGCAGCTGGATGTCCTTTTCTGTTTTTTCCCCCTATTATTTGTTAATTATTGAATGTGGTCAGTGGTTTCACTTTTAGGTGGAAAGTGAATGAAATGTCCACTTTAGGTGCGAAGTTATTTAGGAAGAAAACCATATCGCCTTATGGCATTATATATATTATTAAAAAAATGTAAGTCTCCATATAAACACAGTTTAATATTGTTTTTCCATTTGTGACTTCAAGTCTGAACGATTAACTGCAGTAAAAGGCTCCATAATATAAACTCAGTTTAAACATTAGTTTTCCATTTTTGTCGTCATGTCTGAATGATTCACTAAGGTGAAAATCT